TGATCATGACCAATTAATTAGCTGAAAAATATTACATTTATTATAACAATTGCTTATGTGATTTTAAGAAATTTTACTATGACATAAAAAAAATTAATTTATTAATAAACATCATCTTCATCATATAAAAAAATATTGATTTTAGTGTAAAATATAATTTTATGTAACTTTCATATATTATTTAGTATAAAATATAATTACTAATTTTAATATTAACTATTATATTATACAATAAAAAATATAATTATTAATCAATTAACATAAAATATAATAGTTTTTGTCTTAATTAACCAAAAAAATGTAATGAAATATTTTCTTATTAATGAGATTGGGTGCATTAATGCCACATAAATAAAATTTATTAGGTTCTATTTATTAGGTTTTATTAATGATTTGCCACATAGGTAAAATTTATTAGGTTTTATTTATTAGGTAAAATTTATTGCTTAGCTAGCAATTATATATATATAGATTTGGAGTCAAAATAATATACTTGAAGTTCAGATGAAATGATCAAAAACGAGTTAAAACGGATTGAAAATGGTTCTACGCGATTGAATCGAAAATTTCCGAACAATTAACTAATAAACGAATAAATTCTAAACTAACCATACATATAATAATAAACTAATAACCCATCTAATAACACGATAATAAAGCAAATAAATCATATAAGACATAAGCGAGCAATTTAATAATAATCGAGCAAGAATTAAAATTAAAGAATAAAAGCAATTACAAATAATAATAATAATCGAGTAGATGACAAAATGATGAAGTCGAAGCAATTAATAATATAATGAAATTCAAGTAAGCAATATATAAATCCATCCACGCATATAAGGATAATATCAAGCATTGCACATAAAATACAATTAGTAGCAGCACCTAAATAAAATAAAATGCATATAATTAAAATAAAATTAAAAGGGGCGCTACAGTATTATTTTTAAAATCATATCAATCAAAAGGGGTGCTACAGTATTATTTTTAAAATTAAATGTAATGAATTGAAAAAAATAAAAAAAACGCCACTGTAAAAAAAATCGTCACATTTTTCACAATAAAATCTTTTCCAGGCCAACGTTAATTTTTTGGGACAATTGCGACATGATGGTTACCACTTGTGATACCCCACATGTATACCATTATCTGAATTGTGATAATTGTATGATTTATTAGTATTAAGCAATATTTCCTTGAGTAATTTTATTTTACTTTATTTTATTTTTCTTTTTCATGGTATTATTAGATAATAAGAATAAATGAAATACATATCTCTATTTTCTATATATTATTAAAATTTGTGTACAAATTTCTAGAGTATTTTACTAACCATTAATTTCTTAGAGAAAACAAATAATGTAGTTGGTTTGGATAGATAAAACTATGATCCTCCATTTAAATACATACATATTTATATAAATATGTAAAGTGCTTAACTTTTAAAAAAATAATTTTTATATTATTATATATATATATATATATAATCTTGTATAGCTGCGAAGTTGTGATATATATAGTTGCGTATAAACCTTAGTATAGATGCTTAAGGGTATTGATTATAGATAAATAAGTCAATAAGATTGTTTAGGTAGTTTAGTTAGATATGTGCTAGAAATATTACATCTCATAAAACAAAGAAAAAAGAGAGATCATAAACCAATTCCCCAATCGAAATCACGGATTTCAGAACATTTCTGCAATCGAAATCACGGATTTCAGAACATCACATTTCCTATTCACGGATGCGTCCTTACTCTCCTCAAACATCCATTCCCCAATAGAAATCACCATTGTCAGAGTAATCATTGCCTTTAGTCGTGTACTCTCCATGTTGCAGGCAATTTTTCTACACAATCCACACACAACCAATTCTACTTAAGCATTTGATACACCGTTCACAACAATCAGAAACAATTTATCTTGTTGAACCATTTTATACATCCTTCACACAAAACCATCCTTTTAGTTCAAACAACGCAAAATCACAAAACAAATTTCCTATCTCAACTAAACTTTCACTCTGCATCGAACAAAATAACATCTCAAGGAGTAGCCGTCCGTAGTAGAAGTCTGGGAGGAAAATATAAGCACACATCATCCTAATCCCCAAATACCAAGAAGAAAAGAGGTGGGTGATTAAAATCTTGAAAAATAAAAATACTGATGCATGTATATACATGCATCAATATATTTTAGATAACACATTTTATACTGTTTGTTGTTGAAAATACTGTTGCGATTGTTACATATATTTTCTTGTGATCGTATAAATATAAATGTACTTCCTTATTGATAGATTATTTATTTATTATTTTATTTTATATAGCTGCGATCGTGTTGTACTGTGATCAGGTATATATATTTACCTTCTCTGTGATGTGTATTAATATTTTATTTGTTTCATATCATGTATATATATTTATCTACTCTGTGATGTGTATTAATATTTTATCTGTTTCATATCGTGTATTAAACATTTTATCTGTTATTAATGAGTTTTGCTATGGAGCCATCGGATGGCTCGACTTATGGAGCCATCTACACTTATTCACCAATAGTGTATTAACACGTGTCCTGCAATAAATATAATTTGGACAGGTGTCAATACATTAAGTAGTGAATGGCTCCATAAGAAAACCATCTGTTGTATTAATATGTGTACTTATTAAATTCACTTACTTACATGCACAATTTAACAATATTTAATTCAATATTAAATTCATTACTTATTATATTCCAAGTTTTTATCACAAAAATTATATAAGTGTCGCCAATATCTATTTTAATTAGGTGGTATAATTAATTGTTGCATGTAAATAAGATTATAATGTCTAGAGTTGCACAAATATATATTACGCATGCAGATAAGCAGAAAGAGAAAAATAAATCAATAGATATTATCAAAAATTAACAGACACAATGCAGTATACATATATAAAACAAATAAATAGTTTAATACAATAACTCAAATAAAACAGATAAAAAGTTCGTACGCACAACAGATAAAAAGTTTAATACAATAAAGCAGATAAAATAATAATAATAAGGTAAAACGTTTATTACACGTTGCGTATAGGAACATATGAAACAAATAAAATATTAATACACATACGCAACATATGAAACAGATAAAATATTAATACACATAACAGAGAAGATAAATATATATACACGATCACAGTACAACACGATCGCAACTGTAACACCCCGCTTATCAAATTTTTCGCAACTTTTACTTCGAAAATACTTATAAATTTTTCGAAATATTTTTGCTCTTACTCGGGATGCTACTCAAACATATCTTTTCTAAAATCCGTTTATCTTTAAACTTTGTCTAACTTACTGGTTTAGACATAAAGAAAACAGATTTACTTAACTCGCATATAAACTGAACCATATTCATACTAATGAAATGATTAAAGTCTGAAATATGATATTTAATAACATGCAAGTTCAAGTCTTGATATGCGTAGCAGAAATACTTAAAAACGTGAATAATTATACAGACATAGTAGTTCATAAATTAAATGTCCACAAGTGCACGACCATCACCACCACATCCGAGCTCACACCTCCGGCCCGACCTTGTTACCTGAAAAACACAATGGGGGTGAGTACTGATCCTTTTGTACCCCAAAATAACTCATACTAAAGTAAACAACAATAATAATACAATATCATAATCGTTGGTATATATCTGGACTGGAAATCTGTTCCAGTAACTGAAACTGAATCTATAATCTGGCCGATATCTGATCGGATACGTGTGCACACTCTGATGGATATTTCTAAGGCAACTAATGGCCTCCATCAGAACTTATGATGTACTGTTAAGGCAACTAGGAGCCTTCATCCCAATCGTATAAACTGTATACATACCTCGGACATGATATCATATTATAATCAATGTAATACCCAGGCTGGGTCCCCACCTTTCTTCTTTTGAAAACTCGTAATTGTTGAATGATATATCTGAATCTTCAAGCTACATAAAAATATAAATCAATGTACTAAGTACTATGGTCATATACTCAATAAGATGTTTGAATACTTGATTCTTTCACTTATCCGGATTTTAATTAACACTCTAAAAATTCACTAAAATCCAAATTTAAACTATTAAGCTTAAACTCTTCTTAACTTTTACTTAAAAATGAGTACTTTCACATATAAATCATAACTCCAAATCTTGAATATTGTTTTACTCATATGAAACTTAATGACTCGGAAGTGAAAATAAGTTAAATTTCACATAATAGATAACCGAGTATATTAAAACAATTTCAACTTGTACCATCATCATATATCTATATGATTTATGAGGATTTTTAATCTATCAAACTTGTCTTAAACTTTCTTGGTATTAAAATCTCAAACTTGAAGCTCATTCAATACAAATTTTTATCATAACAATAAATTATGATATTGATATACTAGACTTGAAACAATTTTATAAAATCAAATACTCAACATATTGAGCTTAAACTGGATCAAATTGTTCATCACTCAGATAAGAATTTTTCCTAAAAATTTCACTTTAAAAACTCAACCATGTACTGAATACTCTTGCATATAAAATCATCTTGACATGTATGCCATATAAATATTTTAACTCGTTCATTTCTCAACATAAAATCATGAAATTTGGCAGTCATGTTCTTAACCCATATATAAGCATGTTGAAAAATTTCATAATTTTATCATGCATATATATCGAGTTATTAGAATTTTAAAGTCACAGCTGAAATAAAGAATTTAACTTCAAAAATCTATAACTCAAGCTATACTATACCAAATGACATGATTCTTTTTCTTATGTACTCCTTATTTACATAAGAATTACTCATTTAAATCATACTTTATTGTTTTATTCTTATCATTATAAGAATCTCATTAAAACCTAGTACATCTATCATACAAATAATCTTAAGACAACTTTAACTTCTTGTATTTATTACTTTGATTATAAACTCACTTCTAAGTCATTAGTATATACTAATAACCATTTAATATCATCTATAAAGTATGAAATTAGGATGAGGATATTACCTTCTTCTTGCTAGAAAATTGATTCTTCTTCCCTTCCCAATTTTTTCACTTCACAATTTTTTTGTTTTTCTTTAACTTATTCTCTCTAATGAACTATATAACTTTTTTAATTCTTCTTTGATGAAAATATCTGAAATCAAGGCCTCTATTTATAGGCAAAATGTTTGAGACAAGAACATTGAGTGAAGAAATTGACAATTTAAATAATACAAACTTGTAAGAATAAATATAGATAATAAATAGTAATTCTTAACTTGTAAACTTCTCCAACCTATATTCAATGCTTATAAAGGCCCCTCTCCTGATCCTAATGTGATCTCAATGATTAAATTCGAGACTTAATGAAAATTCTCCAATTTACGGAACCGAATTCTGATTTAAAACGAGCATTTACTGTAAAATCGAAAATTCTAAAAATTTCTGATTTTCCCTCTTTTGCTTTTTGAATTTTTAATGCTGAACATTTTAACTCTTAATAATGATCTTGGAACATGTAAAAAAAAATCCAAGAAAATAAAATTTTCGGAAACGAAATCGGACTTAATTACCGACTACAACTGAACACCGAAAAACTCAAAACTTGCGAATATAATTTCGAATATACTCTTAATAATATAAATAGACCTTCTTGCCTAAATAATTTCTACTTACTCCTTATAACTTATCAATCAAATCATATACATCACATAAAATACTTAGGCACTAACATTTACTCGACTAACTCAATTTATCGAAACACGATTCCGATTTTACTTTAATGTCGAGCCAAGTGAATCGGTTCTAGTTATTAACTGAATGGTTCATTTCATTATCTTGATTACTTAAACACTTAGAAAAATTCTAAGTATTTAATACTAAGGCTCGACTATAACTTAGGAATTTCTCGGCAGTGATAACTTGAACCGAGCTTAATTTACTTATGAGGCCAACCTTTGCTAAATTATACTTCCAAATTAATGGATTGATCTTCACCTTAAAATGAATACTAAAATTCTAATAGATTTATTAAGGCTTAGAAAAATATAAAAGATCATTATTAATAAAAGTAAAATAGTTCTAACTTAGAACTTAATTACTTTTATTAATTACTAAATGGGATATTACAGCAACTATATAAAAAAATAATAAATAAATAATCTATCAATAAGGCAGTATATATATATATAGGAAAAATATATATGTAACAATCCCAACAGTATTGTAAACAAAAAACAGTATATAATATATATACATGCATCAGTATTTTTGAGATAACACGGTTTTTTTTTATTTTAATTTTTCAAGATTTTAATCACCCACCTCTTTTCTTCTTGGTATTTGGGGATTAGGATGATGTGTGCTTCTATTTTGCTCCCATATTTCTACTACGCACAGCTACTCCCCGAGATGTTATTTTGTTTGATGCAGAGTGAAAGTTTAGTTGACATAGGAAATTTGTTTTGTGGTTTTGCGTTATTTGAACTAAGAGGATGGTTTTGTGTGAAGGATGTATAAAATGGTTCAGCAAGATAAATTGTTTCTGATTGTTGTGAACGGTGTATCAAATGATTAAGTAGAATAGGATTGTGTAGAAAAATTGCCAGCAACATGAAGAGTACACGCTAAAGGCAATGATTACTCTGATAACGATGATTTCTATTGGGGAGTGGAGGTTTGAGAAGAGTAAGTACGCATCCGTGAATAGGAAAATGTGATGTTCTGAAATCCATGATTTCGATTGGGGAAATGTTCTAAAATCCGTGATTTTGATTGGGGAATTGGGTCGGCATCTGATNATATAGGGGTTGGTTCAAATAAAAACTAGTCCTGGTGTAAGAACCGTGAGAACCATATTTGAAGCTATTTTTTATTGTATATGATGTTATTTTTAATATCACATGGTGCTATCATTATCACAAATGGTAATACAAATTGTGTTGCTATTTTTTATAAAATACATCAATGTTAAAAATAGCACTAAAACACAATCAATCATAGCACTACGTACAATTAAAAATAGTGGTTCTCACAGTTCTCACACTAGGACTTGGTTCTCATTCGAACCACATCCTATATATATATATATATATATATATATATATATATATATATATATAGAGAGAGAGAGAGAGAGAGAGAGAAAGGATCATATGAGAATGACTCTCAATGCAAGAAATGAGAATAAGTCTGGATCATTGGATCCAACATATCAATGATCATGATCAAGTCAAACTTTAATAAATCATGATCAATCATTAATGGCAATATAGTAAATAAATAGATATATAAAGGTCAAATATATAGATTTAACACTAATTAAGGGTAATTGAGACTTTTGCATCAAACACCCTAACATTTGGGACCCACCACATCACACATTAAACCTACACACCTCCACCTACCCGACACTCACCTTCTTCCCCCTTTCCCCCCACCCCACGCACACACACTGATCAACACACACACTCAGATTGACCACCGGGCACCGACGACCCGTCTCCTCAGCGGCGGAGCTCCGCCGCAGCGCATATGCCGTCCTCCGTTGCGCCTCCGCAGCCCCTCGCCGGAGACGGATGCTACCGAGCAGGCTCCGGCGGAAAACCAGCCCGTCGTCTATGTAGATACGCGCCTCTGAAGCCCATCAACCGGACCGATTATGGTCGTTGTCGCGGCGAGAACGGCTGTTGTTGTCGTCTGTCTGTTGTTCTAATCGGCCGGCAATGTAGTTTTGGAAGGGCTGACGGCGATGGCTGCCGCGGGAGAAAGGGTGGAGAATGGCCGATTTTTTTTCTTTTGTTTGGGCGGAGGACGGCGGCGGCGGCGGCGTCTGGTGGCGAGGACGACGGCGGCGGCGGAGTCTGGTGGCGAGGATGACGGCGGCGGCGCTGCTGAAGTGCAGTGTTTTTTTCTTTTTCTTTTTTTTTTGGTTGGGTATGTTTTGTGAAAATTTGACATTTTTAGAGGACTATTTTGCAATTTTGTACACTTTTAATATATATATATCTCTATTTTTATTTATGTGTGGCATGTTAAAATTAAATGAAGATTAGATTATGCACATTAATGACACATTAGATGCACAATATTACATGAATGTGTGCACTTTAAAAAAAATAATGTCATGCACTTAAAAAAATAATGTCATATGTATATGTAACTATTAAAATTTTATAAATACGTCATTTTTTTACGATAAGTGAATTGTTCAAAATTGTGTATATATGTGCATTTTAAAAGTAAAAACTAATAATCAAAATAAAATATAAAAGTTTGGTTAATTTCAATCTCTAATGTGCAATCTCATATTCGTGATAAAGTGCAATGTATTGTTTTATAAAGTGCAACGTATTGTTTTGTAAAGTGCAATGCGTTGTTTTATAAAGTGCAACGTCAAATAAAACTGAAAATAAACATAATCAATTGATTTATTCGATTCGATTAACCGAATTATCCTAAATAATCAAAATAATTTGTTGTTTATATTCAAATTATATTTAGTAAGTTAATAATTTTATTTATTATTTTTATATTATTTTTGGTTGACAAAAATTGATGTTGGGTCGGTTTCGATCTCTAATGCGCAATCTGATATTCGCGATAAAGTGCAATGTATTGTTTTGTAAAGTGCAACGTGTTGTTTTATAAAGTGCAACTTGTTGACGCATAAAGTGAAATAATGTATTTTTAGTACGTTAAAGTGCTTGTGTTTTGTGTGAATAAATGATGTGATTGTTGTTATATTATTATGTTTATCCATTTTGTAAATTTATGTTGTGTGACGTTTGGTGGGAGAGCTGATAACGTCAATTGTGGAGCGTGTTGATAAAGTGCAACGTGTTGTTTTATAAAGTGCAACGTGTTGTTGTATAAAGTGCATCGTGCTAATATATAAAGTGCACTACTTTATACAATCAAATATAAATTATGTGTTTTTGAAAAAATAGATTTAGTCGATATAATTGCACATCAAATTGACCAAAACAATCGAATAAATTTATTATTTATTATTATAAAAGTGTATCTATTATTTTAATATTTTTGTAAATATTAAAATTTACATACTGAAATTTTATCAAATTATTTATATTATAAAATTATATTTAATATTTATGAATTTATTATTTATAAACATTCAAAATAAATTATTATGTATATAATGTGCATTTTATTTATAATTAGTATACATTTATTAGACTTCAATAAATTACAGATTTGGCACTTGAACAAAATTGAAATAAATCAAATTTCATGAATTTGCAATTAAGTCCTTACAATTTATCTAATTTTCATAAAAATAACCCTACAACCCCCCTCCCCAAATCCATTCATGCACATTCAATTCCTGCACATTCGGCCACATCCGCAGAAGGCGGCTGCGTCGCCATATTCCCGGCGTCGTCTTATCCATGGACGCCGCACACTCCCAAACGTCGTTCGGATGCTCGGAGAACGAGGTGGCGGCCGTGGCCGTGTGGGTGCAATTGGCTGATGGGAGTGAACGGCGGCGGGCAGAGGGGCGTGTGAGGCGCAGCGGCGCGTCGACATCGCCGGCGGCGGAAGGACTGGTGGAAGTGTACGGCGGCGGGCTGGGATTGTGTAGACGCGTAGCGGCGGTAGCGGAGGGACACGGCGGTCGTTTGGTGCGAGCTCAGGGTCATCGCCTCCGGCAGGCGGTGCAACGATGGAGGAGGTGATGAGAGTTGGTGCCGAGATGGCCTTAGGCGGCTCTGTGTGCAGCGCAGTGGGAGATCGACGGGCGGAAGAGCGGTGGAGGCGGCGGCGGACAAGCGGTGGCGGACGAGCAGTCACCATGACGGCGACTGACCGACGGTGGAGGTACAGGTGATGACGGCGACTGACGGGTGGTGGCGGCGGTTGACATGCGGCGGCAGGCTGGCAGTGTTGGGCCGTGAATGTGTGTATGTGTAGATTTTTTGTGTGTGTGTGTGTGTGTGCGTGTGAGAGAGAGAGATACTGTAGGGTGAGGTGGGGTGGAGTAGGGTGCTGATGGGTGGGTGGGGTTGGTATCAAGTTCATTAATTTGATTTAATGTGGTGGGTCACGTGGATTATTGTGAAAGGGACCCACCTGTTTGGGTGTGTGGTGTGTAAAATTATCCCAATGCCCTTCATGAAGGTATAATTTGGATTTGTTTAGCCATTAGATCATCTGATCTAATGGTTATGATGTATTCTTATTTCTTTCATTAAGCACCATTCTCACCTATATACATATACATATATATATACTATATATATAGTATACCAGTTATTTTTTTAAAAGTTAAGCACTTTACATATTTATATAAATATGTATGTATTTAAATGGAGGATCATAGTTTTATCAATCCAAACCAACTACATTATTTGTTTTGTCTAAGATATTAATGGTTAGTAAAATACTCTAGAAATTTGTACACAAATTTTAATAATATAGGGAAAATAGAGATATGCATTTCATTTATTATTATTATCTAATAATACCATGAAAAAGAAAAATAATAAAGTAAAATAAAATTACTCAAGAAAATATTGCTTAATACTAATAAATCATACAATTAGCACAATTCAGATAATGGTGTACATGTGGGGTATCACATTCTCCCCTCCTTATAATAACTTTGGGTATTGTTCCTTCATCTCCTTCTCTGGTTCCCAGGTGGCTCCTTCGTCTCGATTGTTGTTTTGTCAAACCACCTTAACCAGTGGAATTTGTCTCTTCCTTTTCACACGAACTTGACGATCAATAATGCGCAGCGATTTTTCTAAGTACGTCAAGTTATCCATGATGGATGGAATGTCTCTTGTAATAACGTGTTCTGGATCGGGACTATACTTCTTCAATCTTGAGACGTGAAATACGTCATGCATGCCAGCAAGGGTACTTGGTAAGTCTAGGCAGTAGGCTAGCTGGCCGATTCTCTTAAGGATCTTGAATGGGCCAACATACCTTGGGCTAAGTTTCCCACCTTTCTCGGATTTTATTATCCCCCTCCTTGGCGATAATCTGAGGAGCACCTCATCCCCACAACCGAACTCTAGATCCTTTCTTCTTTTGTCGGCATAGCTTTTTTGACGACGTTGCGCAGTGCGTATCCTTTCCCTAATCAGGCGAACTTTTTCCGCTGCTTCTTGAACTAAGTCGACTTTTGGTACATATGTTGGAACTTTCTTTGTCTTGGGTACCCATCGATCATCAATTTCCCAATGAAGTGGTGATCTACATTTCCTACTGCGCAGAGAGCCTCATATGGTGCCATGTCAATTGTGGCTTGGTAGCTATTGTTATAAGCGAACTCAACCAATGGCAAATGATTGTTCCAATTTCCTTAGAAGTCTAACGTGCAGGCTCGAAGCATGTCTTCCAGAGTTTGGATTATCCTCTCTGATTATCCGTCGGTTTGTGGATGAGTTGTTGTACTAAAGCTAAGACGTACCCAATTCTAGGTGTAGACTTTTCCAAAATCTCGAGACAAATCTTGGATCACGATCAAGGGAGGTGAATCTAAAGAATTTAGACATGGTAAGCTATTTTATTATTTCAAGTGACTATTGTAAATTAGAAACAACCCGGCTTAAAATCAATGAGTTATTAAAACTTAATTTACGAAATAGCTTAACCACATATTAGAGTTTATTTTGTTCAAAGAAAACTCGTGGTGATTTCTAAGGTTACGTTGCAATATTTGTCTCAAAATTTGTTAGCTATTGAAACAAATATGGTAATATTAGTCACTTGAAATTTGACGTAAATTAGAATTTAAAAAGCTTATGCCTTATAAAATTTTATAACTAGACCATCTAAACACGTCCTCGGGTTTGGAAATTATCTTAATATAATTGATAATAACGTTAAGAATTTATTAAGTATCTTAATAAATATGAATGAAAAGATCGGATTTAATAAAGGTAAAATGTTGATTTAATTTAACAATAATAATCATAAAAATTTGAAAAATATCCAATTTTCAATAAAGTAAATGTGGAACTCAAAAAGCAAGTGTGTCCATCCACACCTCCATCTAACACTAACGTCTGGGACATAAAAGTTATACTTCTAGAAAACATTGTTCTCACTAACACCGAATATTGAGATTAGCTTACTTGTGCTATTGATTAAATTTGATGTGGCCTTGTACACTTAACTCTTGCCGTGTATTGACTTGACTGTTTGGGGCGGTTAGACCAAACCCAGAATCGAACAGCGTGGTTGCGGTTCTCGGTAAGGCTACCGTTGCTGCCTATTATCATAACTGAGGACGGAGTGTTCCAAAGTTACTGGGTCGTAGAATTAAGGTATAATCGCGATTATGGCATTCTCTGGGCGGAAGCCCATAACTAAGGAGTTTGTCAAGCCCAGATAAGATATAAGGTTGGCTTGGGACTGCATAGTTCATACTGGAGCTTCGGCTCAATCTTGGAGCTTCGGCTCAAATTGAGGCCAAAGGCCTATATTATTGGGAATCACAAGGAAGAGCCTAGGATCAGGTCAAACCGACTCGTTCCGAAGCTAAACTATTTTGCTAACATGTAGATCTCTGCTACATTAATTAAGTTACTTTCAATCCACGGGGATTGAAATTACTGCTTTATTTCATTGATATGTTGTACTTTTTAATTGTATATTTGTGTTATAAGTAATCTAAATTTTTCAAGTATGCTACCTTGTAACATATTATGAATACTTTAAGAATGGATACTGTTTCAAAACATGCATCNCGTGGCCTCTTTATTGTTAGCATGGTCTTAAATATAAGTTATTTTGGGTATGTTAAAAACTGGGACTTAGTATTATCCATTGTCATTTTGGTACTTGTTTTATTCTGAGACTATTCCGATGCCAGTTGGTAATTTGTATTTATTCAGACCATGTTGTATGGCTTGTATCCTGATTATCAAACTTATTTTCACCGGACTAAGTTTGAATTGTTGTTTTATATCCTTGTTATTATTATGTATTATTCATTGTTCATCATATTACTGCTTGGCGTCGCGTCTCCGTCCAACCCGGTGTGGGGGGCATGACACCAGTAATCACCAATGAACAACTCAATGAGTGCAAAGATCAAATAACTATCAACCTGTATATGTTATCAGTATATTTGCAAATATATATATATATATATATAATTACAATATTAATGTAATATATTAATTAGTGTAATCTAATATTTTTTTTATTTACCTGACCACATGTGCAAAGGCAGTCGATAGTATTGACTGAAAAATCAATGTTTTATGTTTCCACATGGTCGTGGAGCATTGCCTTCGTCGATTGACCTTGCAATTTAAATGCATCATCCATAACTTAAACATTATGTAAAAAAAAGTACAACATAACCAATTAGAATACAAATAACATTATTCATATATTTATATTTGTAATAAATGATAAATTATAAATTATATCTGAATTATCTAAAGCACTCACGTTGCGACAAACTCTTTTATTTCAGTCTGATCGATAATTAACTTTGTGATATTAAAGGTGTTTGAAACCTTGACTGATACTAAGAAAAAAAAACTTTTATTAAAAATCAATCACAAGAGGTTCGATTTCACGATTTAGTATTAAAGGATTATTTCATCAACCTTTTCTTCCCACAACATGCAAGATAGTTTATTTCGACTACAAAATTTAAAACAAATAAATAAAAATAAGGTACGAAATTGAATTAAACTATAATTTAAATGTAAACAACTTACAAACCATAAACATTTTATTGTTATTGTTGTATAAAAGAATACTTGATGTCATCCAAAGTTATTCTCGCAAAACATGTTGTTCCGTTGTCAAAAGTCTTCATCTGCATTTGGTTTATATCGTTGTTCTGAAAATTGGACCGGACCGACTGATTCAACCGGGAACCGGGTGGCATACCGGTCCGGTTTATTGTATGAAACCGCTTTAGTCAAAAACCACTTAAACCGGTTGAAAACCGGGAAACTGCTCACGGGTCAAGCGGGCAAGCGGCTTCAATGTTGGGCCAGTTCACGCCTGCCTTTCTCAAGGTTATCAATTAAATAGCAAAATTATTTTCAATATTCTTTCAACATGGGATATCTATTCAATGTGAGTTTATAATTTTTTTTCCCTTGGCCTTGTCTTCTTCTTTCCTTCTCTTTATTTATTTTTTTTTCTCCCATAAATGCTCCCTACGGCATAACTCAATCTCACAGCCTGTGTGATTTATTTTATCCACACATTGAAGAGGAAGTAAAATGATGAATTTATCCATATCTACTTTCAATTTTTTTCTTTCATTATTACAGATCTGTGAAGCAGCACCGTCTTAATCTAATTTATTCTTCATTATTGTACGACACCACCATCCATCGGCAACCGAGCAGCTACCCAAGGTCCCAGGCCTCCTCGTACGCCGCCGACGAGCCAGTGGCCATCCTGGTTCCCCGCCTTCCCGTATGCCCCACCACCATCCCCTGACTCCTCCACATCTCGTTTTCAGTCCCCGTTGCAATTTCATATCTCCAGTCATTGGGTCACCAACAAGTCTCAGTTTCAGATCTCCGATCATCAAGCCACCAACAAATCTCAATTTTAGTAATTTTAGAAAATTACTAGAGAGAATTTGAAAAAAAATAATTAAAAAGATAATTTTGGTTGGAGAGCATGTTTGTATACAAGAAGTCTCAAAAAAAAATTTCAACATTTTAACTCAACTATTTTTTTTTAACTCAATTTTAACTCAATCTCACTACCATCAATATTATCAATATAATTAAATAATATCAATCAATCATTCATACACACCACATCAACTTTAATTCACTATTCATCCATTCACAATATTTTAACTAACCATCACATCAAATTTTTAATTATTTTATTTTAAATATTATTTTAATATACCCACTAACAATTACCCATACTACCTTTTTCAAAATTAACCAAATCAAACCAAAAAATCCAACAAAACCAAAAATTTTCATATCCAAACATGCTCTGAGGATCTCACCTGTTTGTGGGTTGTGGGTGATGGTTTCGTATTTAAATCAAGTCTTATAAATGGAAAACAAAAAAATAAAAATAAAAGAAAATGTCTATGAGGACAAAATTGACAATGCATAATGTGTCCCTTATATTATCAAAAAAAAAGAAGTATTATTCAAAGAAAAGTCATTATACTCTATAAAATTAATAATAAAGATATATACAATTATGTATTATACATATAAAATAAATAAATAAATTATATATTAATTAAACCGGTTCGACCGGCTCGACCACTGATCCGACTAGTGAACCATTAAACCGGTAGCTTCACCGAATCGATAACCGATCCGGTTTTCAGAACATTGGTTTATACCAACAACTCTTCCAATAATGTCTGCAAATAGTACAACAAAATAATTAAAACATGAATATATATATATATATATATATATATATATATAAATGCTGGCAAGTTTCAATAAATTTTATTCAGCCAGCAATTAATAATAACCAATATTTGATTCTGTGCACATGCACAAAAAATTAAAATTATTATAACTTATAAGTTACGTGTATGATTGTAAAATAAGAAGTTAAATAATAGTATCAAATTTTAAAAATTTGTCGTTTAGTAAAAATGAACATTTTAATATCAAAATTCATCACTATATTTATTATATAAAATAAAATGGATAATTATTTTTCATTAAATCCAACTAATATAGTGTACAACCTTGCATGAAAAATTTGAATTTGAATGACCTGGTGTAAAGATCACTATTATAAAAGATGACTTTTCTTATATATATTATGCGTTGTACTTTTGCATGTGAATAGTGAACATACAAATAAAAAAAAATATTTTTAACCATTCAAATTTAAGGGTTTAAACATTATCTCGTAATCATGCAACAGTTACATTCTCCAAATATAGAGAAATAAAAAATGGTAATTGCATGTAACAGTTACAAATCCAAAATATAGTAAAAAATAGGTGGATGATTGTGTGGAATAAATTAAAAGAAAAAAAAATATGTTGTGTAACGGTTTTTTGATGGAGGTCATAAATTTTTTTATTAAATGAACTCATATTATTATTATTAATTGAAGGCTGAATAAAATTAAATGAAGCTTGCCAACAATTATATATATATAGATATTGGTTCATTTAATAAAATAGGTGTTCATTTAATAAAAATATGTTCACCAATTAATAAAAATATGTAACTTTTAGTTACACGATTTATTTTGACAAGTCTCGTTTTGGATGGTGCCCATTCTATAACGCCTTTTTATGTGCTGAAATACAATTATAATGTTAATATAATAACAAAAAATCGATTTATTTTGACATGTCCCATTTTTGGATGGTGCCTATTTTTTTATAATTATAATGTAATTTCTAATAATGATCATAATTATAAAATGTAATATACTCATTATATAACTTATAATTTTAAATATAATATTTACTTGCATTTGTGCATGTGCACATGATCGAATACTAGTTAAAATAAAGGTTAAAGATATAATAAAGTAGGAATGAAAAAAATAATTGTACCAATAAATATGGAGTCGAAAAAGGTTCATTTAGCCAACTTAATAAAGCTCGTGAAATTGTAGAGAAAATTTGAAAACCTGTGTTCGGAGACNAAAGAGATTAACATTTACTAAATATAGTTAGCAAAAAATTTGGACAGCAATTTACCCATATTTTTTTTTCTCTCTTTTGTATGAAGTTGGTGAGGTTCTGGTTTTTTGAGGAATTAATAAAAAAAAAGTATTTTATATTGTAAGTTTTCAGACATTTATTAGTCAAAAAATACGAATCAATAATGATTTGTTAAAATTTATTTTAAATAATATTAGTTAAAAAAAATCTAACTAAGATTTTTTTTTCCAAACGACAATTATATTAATAACTTAAAAACTCAAAAGAGTACAACCGAAGTGTCAAGTGACACACTGGTACCAGAAGACTGGACCAACCCCCCCTTGTCAACACACACAAGGGGATACAAACTCCATCAAGGAGGCGAACAACCACAAAACAAAACTCCAAAAAATAGACACTAACTCTATATAGGAAAGAAAGCAGACACAGCTGCACTAAACGAAACAAAACAACAAAATAAAGACCAAAAGCAACACACACCGAATAAACAACAAGATAGAGTAAAACCTCCCCTAAACCTAACAGCTGAAACCCAAAACCACTTGAACCGTCCACCAAGTCACATCCCAACAAAGAAAACCATCCGAGCAACAAAACTAGGCTCCAAACCCGAAAACTGCGGTCACTTTACCGTCTAGATGAATTTTCGGCCTAGATTTGAGCCCCGAAGACCTTCATCGCCGAGGAAAAGAAGGAGAGCCATCACGAACTCACAGGAGGACTAGAAGGGAGAGATCGAGGAGATGACAACCTACAACCGAGCCTCCCGGCTCGAAGGACCTGTAGCCTGACTGAACAGGGGAACATGGGACCGCTGGTTGGGCTCACCCAAGTCAAAGTCAATCTCCAGGAAGAACATGGCCGCACAGATCGAGCCTCCAAACGGACCGATGAACTCCCGCGATTGGGCCTTGCAAGAGTAGCCGACGACCTTGCTGGAGGCGGGGCATAAACCGATGAGCGAAATCGACGCTGGCCAACCACCCGCAACACTCCTGGAGGCGGAAAGGAAGCACCCCAACCGCGGCTTGGCCAAAACGGCACAGTGACCACAGGAATCGCGCCGCCGGAAAAGGGGGCGCTGCATTAAAATCAGATTTTAGATCTGGAGAAGAGGGTTTTCTTTTTCGAATAGAGAGAAAAAGAGTCAGGTTTGAATCTTCTTATCTATCTAATTATGATTTGCTTGATTAATTTGAAATTCTTAATACAAACAAGGGATCTCAATGTAGTGAATCTGAAATCCAATCATTTGGGATTTAATCCCTCAGTAGTCAGTCAGTCCCAATGAAGCCTGACTTCGACTTTAGCCCTCTCAACATATCAAATCCGAAATCGAGGCACGTTGTTGTTGGTGATGAATGACATTTAGAACAAAAATAATATTATAAGTTTTTAAGAATTATATGGAATTTAAAATAAAAGTTCTTTATGAGTTATAACATGCTACTAGTTTATTATAATACTGTCACTCAAACAAAAACATAAGTATATGATTTCAATTTCACATGAGCCTACATTTGTAGGCTCATTTGAAATTCAATTTGTAAAAAAAACGTCTCCCTACTATTTTATCACATAGCTCACCGCACTAAAATCAATACACAATGAACATTCATAATTTCAAAATTGTCCACCACTCTCCTAATCTTGACACTGATGAAAGTTACCAGGGCCATATTACAAAAGTTGCCAGCAGTTAAACTTACAACAGAACTTCACACCAACACTATATAATACATCCTCACTACCCAGAACCACAAACTCACCTAACTAACAAAGATACAACAACACCAGGCAAAAACAAAAAAAACAAAAAACTCAAAAGTCAAACCCTAGCTCAGCTAAACCCTAATGCTATGGTCATCCGAAACCGTCTCTTCAGACGAGGCATCACTCGAGACACCAATCAAATCACCCGGCTTGTCGCTCGTCTGCTGCTTGCCTTGCCTTATAACAGGGGCATTTCTGGTATTTTCATACAGTTGCTCCAGATTAGGATTACCGTACGTCCTTGGGGGGAGCTGAACTGCCTCCCTTAGCCAGTGAGGCAAATTCCCGTTCGAAAAAACCGGGCTTTTCTGAAACTGCCGTCTTTTCAGAAGGTTCATATACTGCACATACTGCCTCTTCCGGGCCCCATCAGAGAAGCCCGCTGGAGGGCCGGAAAATCTCGCGGGCCCACCATGGAAAAGGCGTTGCTGCTCGTGCTGCCACCTGTCCGCCAGGTCACGGGCTGTTTTCCATGACGAGAAATGCAGATTTCGGTCAGTTAGGATGCGGGCCCAGTTGTTCACGCCGTGCCTCCTTACGCCCACCCAAAGACAGTCGAGCTCGTCCTCCGACCATGTGGTCGAAAAGTCAAATTTGCCCCTAGCTCGAGCCAATAGGGTGTCGAGCAACATTAGGTGACTTGATAACGAGCTGGCGGGGTTTGAGGAAATTGGCGGGAAAAAATCGTGGAGAGTTTCGCGAGGGGGTTGGAAGTGGGCCCAATCGTGCAAAGGAGGGTTGAAAGTGGGCCCGATTGGCGGGAGTACGTTGGGCGTGATGTTGGTTGGATTCTCGGGGAATAATCGAAACTCATGCTGTAATGCAATTAGCAATCATCACCGAGGTAATAGAAATTTTGAAAAAATATTACTTCCTCCTATTCTTTTTAAATGTCATTTTGGCTTTTATCAATCTATACTTATATTAAAAGGTATCCCATTTACCAGATTTAGTATAAAGAAAAGTCAAAAGTAATTAATGTTTGCTGGAAATAGAATGACATTAATTACATATTTATTTTGGTATTTATAGCTTGACATTAAAGATTTGTTATGGAATAAAATCAAAACCGATTTTTTTACCTTTGCTGGAAAAGTCCAATATAAGTATAGATTTTCTTTTATTCCATAACATCGGTTTAGTTAAATTAATCTCATAAAATCGATTTTAATGTCAAGCCTATAAATAAAGATTTAACCGGTTTTAATAAAGCAGATTTAATCGGTTTTAATAATTGCATAGAATTTCAAAACTGTTATTTATTGTAAAAAAATTAAATTCTAAAAAAACATTTGTGTATATTTTGTAAAATGTTTGTACAAAATGTTTTACTTTAAATTTAATTACATTAATAAATAATATGAACATACATTAAATATTTTAATTACATAAAACAAAAAGAAGAAGATTACATCTATAACTTATAATAATAATGACATTATACTACAATAAATTTTATAAGGAAATAATATAAGTATTATACGAGGAACAAGATTACGTAAAATTGTTATTTTTTTATATCAATGAATAAATATATATAATGAAATCAAATTTGTATTATTATAAACATGTGAACGAGATAATTTATTAATTAATTTACAGGCTAGCGCTACCAGACTCAAGTTTAATGTTCCGATGAAAAAAATGACGTTGATGAAAAGATGTAAAAAGATAGATGATCAAACTCTATTATTTTTTAGGCCTGAACGGACAAGCCCTATGGTCCACTCATTTAATATCTCCTGTGAATCGCACGTGCTACTTATCGGACAAGTTCTGTGTAAATAGCTCATTAATACTTATGTCTCGTGCATCGCACGGGCTACGTGCTAGTCATTTTAATAAATAACGTTTTGAATCTTTTGTACTCCCTCCTATTCTTAATAAGTGTCGTTTTGAGAAGTTGCACAGTAATAAGTGTCATTTCCTAATAATATCTCTCATTAATGAGGATAGAGATGGATGTCTTGAGAAAAGATGAAGAGTGAATATGAAAAGACGTAGTGTATTTATTAGCTAGATGAGGGTAATAATGGAAAAATATGTACTACTTCTTTTTTTTTTAAATGTTATTTTGGCTTTATCAACAATTAACTAAATAGATGACGTCTTCCTTTTTTTTTAAATGTTATTTTGGCTTTATCAACAATTAACTAAATAGATGACGTTTTGGATCTTTTGTACATATTTTTCCATTATTACCCTCATTCAGCTAATAAATACACTACACATTTTCATATACACTACTATTAATTTTTACTTTATTAATTTTCATTAAAGGGGGTTATTATTAGCGAAAAAGAGATTCTTAATTATTGTGTAACTTCTCACAACACGACACATACACATATTATGAACAGGAGGGAGTAATGATTATCACATAACAAGAATGTTTCCTGCAATTTTTTTTTTTACCTGAATATTTTTCACTGGTAGGGACTCTACAACAAACTTTCCCTTGTCGATGAGAGATGTCACTTGTGAAGTTGATGTGTTCTTGCTGACATCACTATTTGAGCCGAGACAATCATGAAGATCTTCCAAAGGTCTGTGTGTGTAATTTTCATGTGAAGCACAGTCGAGTGGTGGTATATTACAGTCTATATCGTGAGAAACTGCAGTACCATAATCACATAATATAAACAATTTAAGCACAATAAATATAATTGCAGAATGAGGAATGGAGCAGATAACAGAGAAAGAGTAAAAAGTTAGCTGGAATTGTGGAAATCTATTTCAAGGCTTATCGAAATCCTTGTTTTTGAGATAACTTGGAAAAATGACGGTGAGGTTCAGAAAAAAACAATTGGTAAAGCTTCAGACTAGAGATGAGTCGTTGATATTTGAATCCAGCAAAGCATTTTACCCCAACCAATAGCATGTAGTTTACACTTTACAGTTACTCTCTCAACTTCCTTCCATATTGCAAATAGCCCAAATTTTCAGTTTGGTTATTGTCAATATGTAGTAAAAGTTTTAGGGTTGGAACTATATGATGATGCAAGATGACAGAATTGGTAGCTATTAATATATGATGAATTAAAAAAAAAATCAGTTTGCTCAACTTACGAATAAATAGAATGTAACACAGAATCGAATGTCAAGTGAATTCGGTAATTAAATACTTCTTTTGTTTTATTTTCTTCTTTTCTTGAAATTACACCAAATCATCAGGAGTTGTTTGTGTAATTAATCGCTCAATTTATATACCTACCAGGTGGAGAAATAGATAAATCCAACGACGATGAGGAACCTTTTATTCCTGGAATTTTGCTAGGCATTCCTCTACAAATCACATCCACATTCGACAAGTCTTGAAAATTTTGTGCAACGGTAGTTGGGCCGTTTATGGCTTTCCCATGTGGAGAATGTAGCGAGTTATCCACTTGCATAGCACTGGGAATAATAAAATAAATTTTTATCAAATGCTCGTATCTCGAAAGTAATGTAATTGCATGATCTGCTCAACAAAACATACATTTCAGCTGCTGGACCTGAAGAGGAGCATGAGTTATCAGTTTCACTTGTGGGTTTCTGTCAGGAAGTAAAACCATAAACACCAGAAACGAAGAAGTGTCAGTTTGAGATAATAAAGTTTGTTTTCAGTATAATTTGGTTAAAATAGCAATTCGACTGTGCTAGTTTACAATTCATGTGCATAACACAAGCAAAGGACTAGCTTTCACGATATTCGACTGACCAAAAAGCATATAGCTGCAGGGAGGGAATCTTATTGGATATAGTTGATTGTTGTGCACTAAGAATAACATCATGCCAATTACTGATATACCAGAATACGCTACGCAATAATTATTATCGTAGTAAAAATTTTATGTTCTGATTTTTGAACAAATGTAACTTCAAAAAGTTAGCCATAGACTGCTAGAGACCTTGTAGCTCTCAAGTGGTTGGTCAAGATATCTCCGTTTGTCGATTTACTTTCCAGACCTTTATCACCGATCAAAATATTCGAAAGAAAGGTTCTATTTTCACCATGATTTAGAAACAGAAGAAGCTATAAAAAGTATGTTGACAGCGAAGAATATTGCACCCGTTAGAAAAGGAACATTTCATTTCAGTTACGTAGGTTAGCCCCCTAAAAAATATTCAGAACAAACTTGCCAATCTGAAAATCCAAATAATATTATGCGTGCTCGATATCTTCACAATCCAATTCCTGCCAATTTCTGTACACACTGACCTGAATCTATCATCTGAAATAACTTATATAAAGTTACGCGTGATATAACTCATCTATTAATGCCGGTTGTAAAGATTTATTTGCAATCTGAAAATTATATTTACAGTTAGTCAATAACTTTAGAAAGATTCAACAGTTATATAAAATCTATTCAATCAATCAAAAAACTTACTAAGGAAAACAATAACAGCATAAGTAGGTAACAACACGTAAAAGAGAATTTCTACTCAATGCAAAAATAGGGAACTTAGCCGTGTTCTATTACTACGAATTAGCCGTGTCATTTATGTAACACCTGAATCTGACACTTTGAGACTGTATTTTTATTAGAGACAACCCAATTCTAATTCTAACCCGTAACATAATCTTCTCATATCATGTAAAAAGAGTCGCCCCTAATATGTACTTCTTCTAAATGTGATATCCAATGTCACTGCTTAAGGATAAGAAATTTTCTAAGAATTAAGAGTTCTAGTTCAGAATGTGTAGACAATTTTTTTTTTTAAGAAAAATAAATCAAAACTACATCAGAAAAAGAGAAAGTGCATTTTCATAATTACGAAGATGAAAGTATTCATCAAACTAACCTTCTTATTCATCAGCTCAACAGAGCAGCTAGCAGTGAGTGGTTCCACAGACACACATTTATCCTCACAAACGGACACAGTATCGATTGCAGCATTATCCCTATTTTTCTTCAATCTTCGACAGAATGTAATCAATGAGGAGGCCAACTTGCGCTTTGTAACTGAATTACTGCATAACTCAACTTTATTGAGTTTGGCTCCGTCTGAAGAAAGTGTTCTTGTCAAAGATGTCTCCTTTGTCTTACGGCTACAATTAATGCCATCAGAAGCTTCCAAACGAACGACATCAGATTCTATTCCAGAAAATGGATTACAATTCTCTTCACTTGGAAATCCACTCTTGCAGTTATCTTCAGATTCCAAATCCAACTTTGGAAAAAGTGATTCTGATTGAGTATCAGCTGGTTCTTCTTTAGCATTAGGTTGAACAGCAGAATCAAGATTAGGTTCTGGAGTTGGACTTGAAAGTAAAGAATCTTGCTGTTTCATACATGCAGAGCAAAGCCTTTGAGATTCATTAGCCTGCTCGTACGGGAAAAAAAAAAGGTCATGTTATAAGAATGATATGAGGTCTTTTGTGTTCATAAACAATCGAAAATGTTCAATTTCACACAATGTATGATCGGAAATAGGGAAGAGGAAGACGGAATACCTTAGAACATTGACTGCAACACGTGGAATTGTTATTGCTATTGTCTCCATCTTTGTCTTTGGAATATCCGTGGCATGCCTGCAAATAAGTTGAGTATTAGAAGTGAATAGTTCCGGATACATGGTCCTTTTGCTTCATAGATAAGAAGGTGCAAATGGGAGGAAAATTTGAGAGAAGCTCAAAGCAGATTAAGTACATAAACTTATAGGTACAATAGCCAAGTGAAATACAAGTTGGGTTAAAAAATAAAGCATCATGTCAACATCAATATCACCACATTTCATGATATGAAAGATTAAACCTGAAACAGCCATGAGGAAGTATTCTTAATCATATCCCTTTGAAAGAAACAACCACTTCTTTTTATATTTTATACCTCATCTAAATGCTCCATTTATATTTTCATTTTTCACTTCAATCAAAACCTTATGTTGAATTTTGTCATAGTCAGAATATTATTCTGCGATTCAATGAAAAATTCAGGAGGGAAGGACACGTAAAGTTGGAAAAGTTACAATATCTGAGTTCAGGACATTTACATGTCATATAGCAACAGAAGACATGATGACCCCGAAAGCCAATGTGTTTTTTAATTATTAAAATAATTTCATAAAGGAACCTCACCCGAGATTCTTTGTTATCTGGCAATGTATGTTCAGCAGTTGACACCTTATAATTGTCAAAACTAACCGAGGTTTTCAACTCTGCAATCTCAGGAGGCCTATCAGGTTGCAGATTTGTTTGAGAATAATTACTTCTCGAGAAAAGCCTCTTCCTCTTGTATGTCACCACTACTTTACTGCTCATTTCTCTATGCTTTTGGATGGTACATCATTCAGAAATTTGAAACGAATATCTCGAAAAGGTGCTGCAAGAACAATTACAGCTATTAGCAATAGCTAAATGATGAAACGAATGCGCTACTGAAAAAAGTCATCAACTTATTCCTGACTAAAAGCATTTTTGTGCAACATAATTACACTAAAATTATAATGTTCAATTTGAAAAAAGCTTCACAGGGAACATCTTCCAGTTTGCTTTAAAAGAACATCCCACAAAAAAAATTGAGAAGCCCAACTAAACCAAAAATTGCAAATACACTACTTCCCCTAGATTTCAACAAACTTGTATAATTCAGCTTTGTGAAGTCCAGAAATTTTCTTCTCCATAATTAAGAGAACCCACAACCACAAGTAGTTCAAATGCAGAAACCTAACACAACACTAGTGTCACTACAAACAATATGTCGATTAAGAACTGGAAAACCATATTCGATAAATGTAAATCCAATTTGGTCCAAAATCAGCAATATAGAGAGCTATTTCTTCCAAATTAAGCTGTAGCACTGTATTCTCTAGTCCAGAAAAATTAATAATAGTCATTTTCTCGAAAAGTCATGGAAACCTCGAGTTCAATTTCACAACAAAGAATGAGCCAAGTTAGCTAGGAAAAAGCAACAAACTTTAATATCATCAGCCACACAATCCACAAACCCATTTCAGCACTAAGAAAACCCAGTACAGAAAATCAAAACTCACATTTTTTATAATTAAAACAAAAAAGAAAAGCAGAAATAGAAAGACGCCACTAAAGCTCACATATCCACACACACGGGCATACAAAGCACACTTTAAAACGAACAAATTAGCAAAGAAAAGAAAAACAGGAGTCAAGAACATTACCAGCCACCAGGGCCAACAAGCTGAGAGAGAGAGATGGGGAAAAGGAAAGGCTTTCTTGAATATTTTCTGCTGTTGTGAATAGAGTAGACAGAACCCAACAAGAAAAAGGGGACAATAAGTGAAGCGAATTAAATGAAAGGCATTAAATATCGCTCGGAAAGAGGAGGAAATGTAGTGACAGAGGTTCGTTTGACCAGTGGAAATTTTTAGTGTGCACTGCTGCAGCCTTCACAATCCAGGGTAGATAGTATATGGTTGTGCTGTGGGGCCCACCGCCAATAACGTTGTTGTCCCTATCTCTTCCCCTTCAGTTTATTTTTTCTTTTCATTTTTTTTTTTTTAATNTTTTTTTTTTTTTTTTTGTTGGAATATTTTTCCCTTTTGTGTCCCTCGATTATGTCTCGTACGTTAAGAAAGCGCATGTGAAATCACCAGAAACTGTGGATATACACAGTTCACTGCTTTCTGATTGTCACCCGTCATCGTCAGTAGCTGCTTTTCTTTTTTCCCTTCATTGGATTGATTTATGTGCAACTTTACATTTTGCCTAAGTTCAAAACTTCATCCCGCCGGTTTCTAAGGGTGGAATGGAGGTAGACCATATCCCATGGGTATTGGGTAGTGTCCTATGTGCAAATTTGTGGTAAAAAAAATTCTCATGAGGTAGGATGAAATAATTTGGGCAGTTCAATAACGGGACGAGCAAAAAAAGTAAAAAATAGGCGCGATTGGAAGTAAGTCAAAATTGCACAAAATTGAATTTCATCCTCGCAATAAATTATTCGGTGCAAATTGAGCCAAAGTTTTCTTCAAATAGATGACTACAGTCGTTGGATATGTAAGAAACGGGGTTATAGGTGCGGTCAGGGTAAAACCCGGATGAAGTCCAAATGAGCTTCCATCGTAAAATTAATTGGGCGAAGGGGGAGTAGTTCATTAGGCTTATATGTTAGGCTTATTTTTTTTATATAAACGATGTGAAGCAACTCACAAACGGTATTATATTCTAATAGGATACACATGTAGATTATGTAGTGTAGATAATCTACTGTATAC